TCCACCACGCTAAGGTGGCGGCACGGAGGGGAATGTCGCGAGTATCCGACAGTAGGAAAAACATTTTTGAAACTGAGCAATTTTGATATGATGCACCCCTATAAATAGTTCAATCGGAACAACTCGTTAACGAAATCAACTTCGCAACTTGCAGAGAAAACATGCGGTTCTTAAAGCAACCGACAGCAATATGCGTGACAAATTTCGATAATAGAACTCAATCAATGTTCGATCAAGAGACACGCCGAAATGGAAACATGCTTCCAAACACGATTCGTGGAATCATATGCGGCCCTTCGAACTGCGGTGAGACAAACGTGTTGATAAGTTTGCTGGAAAGTCCACACGGTCCACGTTTCGAGAACTTGTATGTGTGCTCGAAATCATTGCAACAGACCAAATATCGCTATTTGGAAAATTTGCTGACATCGATTGATGAAATTGGTTACTTTACATTCTCCAATAACAGCGACGTGATTCCAACGACAGAAGCGCTCCCTAATTACATTTTTATTTTTGATGACGTTGCATGTGACAAACAACAAGATATGATAAAGGAATATTTTGCTATGGGTCGCCATTTCAACGTTGATTGTTTCTATCTCTGTCAAACGTATGCAAAGATACTCAAGCATGTTATACGCGACAACGCAAATCTGTTGATTCTCTTCAAATAGGATGGTACCAACTTGAAACATATTTACAACGATCATGTGAACACTGACATGTCATATGAGGATTTTAATGCATAGTGTTAGCAACATAAATATGGCTTTACAGTGATTGATAAGGACAGTTCTATGAACAATGGTCGATATAGGAAGGAATTTAACGATTTTGCTATGCTGTGAGTTGTACAATTGTCGTTGTTATTTCAACGTGGCAACATCGTTCTAACGTAGTTCTAACGTCGTTCCAACATCGTTTCAACGTCGTTTTAACGTCATTTCAACATCGTTGTAACGTCGTAACATTGTTCCAACATCGTTTCAACGTGGTTCCAACATCGTTCCAACGTCGTTTTAACATCGTTCCTATGTCGTTTAAACATCGTTTCTATGTCGTTCTAATTATATATAATGCCGTTGCAACACCGTTCTAACTTCAACATCCACGAGAGCGCATCAATGATGATCAATAGTAGCATGAACATCAAGGATCGCGAGAAGATAGCGAAAGAGATTGTGAGAACAAGCAAATCGATTCGCAAGAAGTATCGCGCTTTGAAAACCGGTAGGGAGGAGAAAAATGTTGCATTGGAGAGACATTTTAAACCCGTCGTCGAACCTCTGAAGCAAATCGCAGAAAGTACCGCTAATGTAGAAGGTAACGTCGGTGTTAAGACTGAGACATCATCAGTGAGTACGAACGTCGAAGCAAAGAGTGTGATATCAAAACCGAAAGAAAAGACGCACATGACAAAAAGTGGAAAATTATTTGACATATCGTGGGATTATTCAGATACGCTCGCCTTCACCGAAACGGATACGATTAGACGATTCTCCGATATATTTGACGTCGAAGAAAGCACCTCTATACGAGCAACCGCATGAATCGAACGACACTCTATCCATTGATAATGATGAGAATACTGTTTTCGAAACTCCGGATGAGTCGCTCGCGACATCCATTAGACATCAGTTACAAACGTGCGCGGGACAACAAACGTTGCGCGATCACCTTGGTCCCCTGGGACAACAATACTTTGGAGCGATGCTAAGCGGTGGAAAAGATACAACTATAGATCACGTTTACGGTGTACGTTTCGATAATAATGAAGCGACGCTAGGTGATAAACGCATCGACGTGGATAGAGACGATAATATAATCATTGATGGAACAAGATACATGGGAACACCGGGTCTTTACGAGCTGATATTCAAGAGAATATCCGACGATACCGTTACCGACGACGCGGTTACAACTCTCTAAATCCTATACTTGGTAACAAAGGGTAAGTATAAGAATATAATAAGCCCTCTGGTATTACATATGTCGAACAATAAGGCGGTAGGGAAAGGCTTTTCAGTATCGCGAGATGTGATGACGTTAAACGGAAACAAAATCGATTATACATACTGGGATGACTTCCAATGAGCTGGTGGATCATTTACGATTACTGGAAGCTTCGCGTAAAACTGGCAACAATGCTCACGGCAATGAAATTTTATCAATTATCGAAGAACTCTGTGAAGCTGGCCTCATTATAAATTAAACAGCGCAGCGTTGACACGAGTCAGTCAGTCGATACACCTCGTGTCGAAATGTCGATGGATAAGTTTGGAACATTGCGTAAGAATAACAGCTCCATAACTGTTCCTATAGAACGATGAGATGAATACATTGAAAGTTATGTACATAAAAATGCCCTTTGTCTAAACGCGGCTAAAGATTTTGACGCAAAGTCTCGCAAGATACAACATGTAGCGCAATGAAGCCGATAGTGACGTTGCAACCAAACAATATGTGGAAGAGCGTTTCACAAAATTTACGACTGATAGTTTGCGCGACTTTGCGAGCAAACGATATGTACAAGATAATACTGTCTAGGTATAGCTTCCGGAATGGAGCCGTGTCTTGAATCAGCGATATGCCGACGTTTCGCAAACGTTGCAGTTTGCATCATTAGGGCTGAGAACTCTGATACTGAGCTCTCTTGGGTAAAGGTAGTCCTTATATGCTCCCCTTCCCCCTTTGTGTAAATGGTGTTTAGGAAGTAGTTAACTCAATCTCGGTTTTTCAATGACTAGAATGATGGCATTCTGAACCCAGCCCGGAATTACGTGAGTATTGCTTCAGGCTGGATTCTGCCTAGTTGCCTAGAGACCTAAACGAAGGACATTGACACATTGACATGTACATAATTCAATGGAGGAGAGCTTCAACACTCACATTTACACATAAGCATCACACAATGATGTTCCTGCAATAGGCATATAACTTGCAGGACTAAGGTATAGTATCATCATTCAGCCAACATGCATACCACTTACACACAACACATCATCCCACGCATCCACGTGTGTACACTCACACACACCCACACACACACACACACACACACACACACACACACACACCACACACATATATTAAAATCATTCATTCCTTCATACACATCGATACTCTGCTGGAGGTAAACCTCCAGGCATATTTAAATGAGGGGACTCTCAACTAATAGCAAGAGGTATAAATATCTATGTATAAATACCCTAATAC